GTAAGAGCGAAACAATATTAAGAATTAAGATAAAATGTTTCAAATTGCACGAAATTCAATAAATGTTGAAACATAAAATCCTTGTACATTAATTCGGAATGTCGAGGAATGTCCATCGCTTGCAAAGTTTATATCAAGATACAACTTATACATCATGCAGAGTTGATATCGTTTCAATAGCAACAGGAAAAACGATAATGTAAAAAGTGGCATTACATCCCTGTCCAGATGTACTTGAATGATACCTTATACATATAATCTGGGACATAATATATGTTAGTATAATAGTCCCAGATATAATAGAAGATATTGAGTATAATTTTTTTGTCAAGCAGACGGTATAACTTTTCAACAGCTCAGAAGTCGATGCTTCGGCACTGACATAGTATATAATCAAATTCCCGAGGATAAATTAAGAAATGATTAAAAAACTTCTAAAGTTCTAACTCCCCAAGGCAAGGTTGACCTTAGTTGAATTTGTCTGTTCTTTTTATGACCCTTTATCATATAGCTCATAACATTTCTACGTACCTACCGAAGGTCGGTGGTTCTCTCCGGGCACTCCGGCTTCTTCCACCAATAAAAACTGACCGCCACGAAATGGCACAATAGTGCTGAAAGTGGCGTTAAACACCAAACAATCAATCTTTTCTACGCATGTATACAATAACTTTGACTTAATCAATTACAAGCTTAAAACAACTAGGGGACAGAACTTGTTAGTCCTTCCATTTAGGTGCCAAGGTCAAAACCGCAAGGAAACTGGTCAACAAACTCGTATCAAACGATGAGATGATGACTCGTCTTGTCAAGCAGTTAACCATTCAGAATGCCCTTCAAAACAGATAGAACCGCAATGTTACGAATCCCGCAACTAGTCGCGACAACATCGTATTCCATTCTGCGAAAGAAAAATGAGGGAAATCTCCCAGAATCAACTCCTTCTAGATGAGGTACAAATAAAATATTAGTCCAAACTAAATCACCAATGCCAGTATACTCTAGGAGGTACCTATTCGGACGAGGACGGGATGTTTGTGGTAGGAAAAGGGGGGTCGTAAGATTCCGGTTCCTCACTCGCTGGAGTCCCCATTTTAAATAAAACATGATTACAAAAGGTAAATAAGTTTGACTTCGAAAAAAACCCTATTTTTACCACAATTAGCTCGTGTATTTTTTTTTAGAACTTTGAATAACCCTTCTTTTATTATGGAAAATCATTCTCCTCCCTGATATTGACAATTAGCGATGTGCTATCTTAACATAAAATTACAAAATGATCGCTATTTGCAGATGGCAGATTTTTGGGCTACTGCAAACACTTCAATAGAAGACTGTTCTATGAACAATAGTTAATAATTGCATCTAAAAATTATAAAACATATATTCCTTGACCTAAAACATATATATTTATCTATTTTTTAGCATACAAATATCGATTACCCAAGATATATTTTGCTTTTGGAACCATTTTTCCTTTTTTTAGGATTTGTTCTGAATTTCAATTTTTCGGGGAATATTGCGCAACTAACCTCTTATTTTTTGTTTGATTTGGGAATAATGTATCATGTTATATAAAGTTTGTATGATCTTTTAGGAAATTTAATGGTACAAGAACTAGAAATTTGCTTTTTGTTTAACAATCGCCAAAATAAATGAATGTGTATTCATGACCTTTGACCTTGATTTAACAGAAAATGCACCGTACGATTTGTTTACGACCGGGCAAACCAGAAAGTGCAGATAATAAGCTTTCGTATGATATATAATACAGCCGTGTGTTAGGTGGGTGCATTAAAGTCGTTAACTAAGCGTCTTTTTGAAATATGTCACTCGCCTAAACGGTTGTATCATCGGAAAGTATAACCGAGTACACCCAGCATTGTTTGTGTGATAATAAGAGAAGTATTTACGGGCAATCAATATTTTAAGATACAAAAAAATCTTCCAAAATGCTAAACAAATTATGAGTTATAAAACATACTTCGAATCATTAATTTTCAAACGAACAATGAAGTCTCCCAGTTCGTAGTCCGATTGGAATGGTATGAAAATAATCAAATTTTAAAGTAAATTTGGATTTTATTAGATAAATGCTTACCATCATAAATTCTAAGTATATGTAACCCGGAAGATTTGGACAAATGTGAATTAGAAATAAAGCAAATTCAGACAATATATTTTAAGTGCTAAAGTGACAATTTGTTAATCCGCTTATCTCACCTTTTACCTTTCTTTGTGTTTAATCAATTATATTGTTAAATACATATTTGCCGTAATGGAAATCACTTTGACGATGTAATAGTTATACACCGAGGGATAGGTGTGTCTGGATAAGAAACCCCGTCGGCCGGAGGCCGGAGGGGTTTCTTATCCAGACACGCCGTATCCCGAGGTGTATAACTAACTTACACCCCATTCTAAACCCTATGTTTGTTAACATTGATTATTAAATGAAAAAAAAACAAAAAACGATAGCATATTTATTGACAATATCAAACCATGATTTATAAGAATATTTTGTTATTGCATGAAACCCCACTAGTAACCTTTCTTTGGCTATCTTCGTTCAAACTTTGACAAGTGAGTATTACAAATGTCAAAGTTGCTGTTTTGCATATTCCCGTTAAATCCATGTGCTAATATGGATCAGCAGGTCAAGGTGGACTGTTTCGTGTATTCTAATACAAACAAAAAATACATCATGCTCCTGGTATACAGTTGTCAATATGGACGGGTATAAGACGGACGAAATTTTGCGGCAAGCGTTGGATTTGGTAGAAGAGACTAAAGATAAAGGCAATATTATAACCCAAAGTACTTACCTGTATCAGTTTAATAAAGGTAATCATAACTGTATTTTAAATCTTACGATTTTATCAAAAACAAAAGCCCCCCCCCCTTCTTCTCGAGAATAAACAAACATTCATATTCGAACATACTAGGGGACACTAATCCTTTTCTATGTATATGTAAGAGAATGATAATCCCTTTCTTCATGATTAAGTACGAGCGTTAGCGAGTACTTATCATGAAGTAAGGGATTATCATTCTCTTACAAACTTAGAATATTGTAAGGTGCTCAAGGCTCAAATGATCTCTTAATTGGTTGTATATAAGAATTAGTTTCATTGTCAGTGCAATGTTTATAACTAATGCATGACTTCCTTTTTAGGCATTTCATTTATGGATTAGTTTTAGTGATGTAAGGACTTTCTTATCATTTGGGAAATATTTTAAAAAAAAATGCGTTATACATATTATGTGACACAACAGAACAAAGAAAAATAAAAGGAATTGTATATGTTTTCTGATTGTGAGTATGAATGTAAATCATGTAATATTTTAGTGAGGAATTATCCTTTTTTTTTTAAATTTACAGTTTAAATCAATTGATACATTTGAGTTACAACTAAATTTTATTTAGCAGCCAATATTTTGGTCCGGCTTTTTCAGTACATCAAATACTATTTCATTGTGTCAGGGAAATGTTCAAATAAAATGCCTTTAAAAGTTTTTAATATGTTCAAGACTTAATTAAATTCCTGGTTTTTTTTTCATCGGAATATTGGAAATAACTATTCTTCCAAACCGCTGATCCAGTGATCAAAGTTTTTGAAATCTATAAAGATTAAGGTATTTTGTTTATTTTAAAACTTTTTTTTATCTTTTTTTTTTTTGTAAAAGCTTTGATATTGTTTAATAACATTCACGGTACCAATTTTACTGCACAGTAAACTTCAACTTATTTTGAGTTTTTTGTTTGTTTCACAATTCAACTTTTAGTCAGTTTCAATCACTGTGTGATAAATCCTTTCAATCGGATAAATGTGCTTCGGGGTACAATGTAGTTGTAACTCATTTATAGAAACTCGTTGTTTTGAACTGTAAATAGACCCTCATAATAGGATAATCCCTTACTTAGAACATAATTTACATTCATTCTTCACAATTAAGAGGCATCAAATCCTACAATTTCATTGGTCGAGAGCACTTTGCTATATTCTAAAGATACTGTTTTTTATATATGCTTTTGTATGATATTTTGAAGTCAGTTGTGGTCTTAGGTCTGGTACTGTCCGGACCTTGCTAATGAAGTTTAAAGTATTGGTATTCCGTCTTTGAATTGCTATAGCCGGAAAACCCCCAGTTATATATTGGTGGAGGTTACCCGCGGCACGATCCTGAGCTAGTTCCCCCAAACTAGCAAGTGAATACCTTCAGAAGCAACAGAATGGAAGGACCTTGAAATTATCAGCCTTGCAGAAATGGACATCCGTTTCCGATAAGAAAATCAGATACCTGTTTGGAATTTCTGTGCAAATATTGCGGTAAGACTGAATGTTTTCACATACCATCGGTGTAATGCAGTAAACGCTTATTGTTACAAATGCAGACATCATGGATATTTTGCCCGCATGTGTAATTTTCACGTGAAGTCATTTGTCAGCAACCCAAAACCAAAGAAGAAATCGAAATCAAAAACTCAAAGAGACAGCGACAGAATGAGAAAGTTTATAGAGAAGAAACAAATATCTCAATTTCCGTTTCAAGGACTCGAAGACAAGGAACTCTCTACTTTTACATGCTCCATACAGGACGAATCCGCGAAACAGCAGAAGTTAAAAGCGTCTCATCGAAACTCACTGAAAGAAATTGCTGTCCTCAAATGTAAAAATTCGAAATTGGATACCGTTATTAAGGACAATGTGATGTTAAGGAACAGTTTTGACAAATTAAATTTGGAACGTTTACAACATGTTAGGCTAATCCAAACGATCGAGCGGGAGTTAGCTGAGCATTGAAGTAGAACTGAAAATTTTGAAAAGGAAATAGTCCGTTTGAAAGAGGAAAACCTTAATTTAACTAACACTAGATACCGTTTAACCATGGATTTGAAAGTGCTGAAATGCAAGACTGTCATTTTATCAAAACACTTAAAGACAAAATTCAGAAACTCAAGGTACTAAATTCCGACAATATACGTGAACATCAAAATT